GTATCTTTTGGAAAAAGAGGCAACCCTTGAGCGAGCGTAAACTACGGAACTTCTTCGAAGCACAGCGCAACTACAGAAGTCTTTGTGATGAAAAAGAGCGTAAGGAGGAATTTGAATTTTTTAACAACTTGAAGCAGTATAAGCCAGGAGAGAGAATTAGAAGAACTTTCAAATACGTTAAAAAATTCAGAAGAAAGAGGCCGCAACTGAGGAGATCCGACATCTCTCTTCAGCATTTCTTGGAATCACCATCGATCAACCTACTTCCTGATCTGATTGGAAATCCAAGTCACGAAATAGTCACAGTGGATCCCCCGGATACGTCTTGTATAGATACAATCATCAAAAGCTGTAAGAATGGAAAAGCAGCTGGTGCGGACGGCATACAAAGCGAACTACTAAAGTATGCAGACGAAGGTACCTTGGAAGAATTTAGGAACCTTTTGAAAAGAGTGTGGGTAGATAATAGCATCCCAGACAGTTGGAGACGAACTACAGTGATCCCGATCCCTAAAAGCAAAAAGGCGAAGCAAGCGAAAGATTTTCGAAAGATCGTTTTGGCTAGCGTAGGGTACAAAATTTATGCGAGTTGGATTTTAGGGGCCCTAATACAAAACACATCACCTATAGGATCACACCAAGCAGGTTTCCTTAACGAGCGATCAACAATGGATCATATATTTACAGCTCGGCGTATTCTAGAGGAAAAGTGGAATGCAGGTGATGACCTGATAGTGATGGCTTTGGATATTGAGAAGGCTTTCGATAACATTAGTCTTTCTGCTCTGCCAGACGTATTGCTGACAAAAGGTGCCTCCGAAGGGATTGCAAATAGAGTGATTAATTGCATCAATGCAGAGGAGCAACAGGTGCTGTGGAATGGGCAAAAAACTGCGCCTCAAATGAGGTCTAGAGGAGTGAAACAGGGTTGTCCACTCTCTCCCTACATATTTGATTTGATTATGGAGGAAGTTCTTTTGACCGTTGAGGATGAATTGGACGGAAGGTTAAAACTAAATCAGACCGGCAGGTTAACGTTCCCAATTATCCTTGTATATGCGGACGATATTTTGATTATCCCTAGGTCATTAGAGGAGTTAGAGAAATTGTTGCCAGTGCTAGAATACTATCTAGGTGAGGTAAACCTTAAGATTAATGAAACTAAATGTCAAGTCATGGTAAGGACGCCTACTGGAGAAGCACCAAAGGAGCTAAAAATTGGAGATCGCATTTTAAAAACAACATCATGCATACATTATTTGGGAGTTCCAATCACAGAACGCTTAAATAGGAAGCTGACGACAAGAAAACGATCTAGAGACGCTGTTGTTGCCTCGAAAGTCATCTTAGACTTTCTTAAGGAAAGAAAGCCATCAGAGAAGTTGGGTTCATTATTATATGAAACCGTAATAGCTCCGACGATGGTGTATGGCTCGCAAGCCACGGATACGGATTTTTCAGTTAAGGTATTGGGGACACATTGTAAGAAGACCTGAAAATCATTTGCTCAAGCTGGCTGCGGAGTATAGATTACCACACAAAAAGAGAGGTAGACCTGCTTTTACTTGGTGGGATACGATTGCTCAGATGTGGAGATTTGAGAACATACCAGTTGAGGAATGGTACGAATTGGCAGACGACAAAGAAAAACTGGATACGAAACTCAAAGAAATATACAATTTGCCCGAATCTGAAACAGATGACGAATGAGGATACTCTCTATCTAACCACCAGCATATAAAACTCAACAGCATATTCACTATCTTTCGGAGAGTGCATCGCTAAGATTTTGGATCACAGCTCTTTCTGCATGATGGGTTTGACATATTTGCTCCGCAGTGTTCGGACGGTCCCGGGTCGGGTCCGGATTGGTCTCCCGGGGTTTGGACTCGTTTAGTGGGGGGGGGGGGGGGGGCTGGCTTGGCGCAGGCCGTTGGAGGATTGTATGGGGGTTGCTGTGGGATATCCGGACTTCTTGTTTATTGCCTTCTGGCCTTTTCCGTGTTGCGTTGTTCAAAAGCTCTGTAACTGTTCTTGTAGAGAATTTTCTCAGCTATAACTTTGCAGAATATAGGGATTGATAGTCTTGTGGCATGGGGCTGCTGTTTTGTGGGCGACACTGTGTTCTGCAGTGTGACATAGTAGCCATGATGCTGAGCTCTATTCTACGCGTCTGAAACACCAGTGTTGCCTGCTGGACAGTTGAATCATGGGGCGGTAGTTGCTTGGATCATTAATAGCTTTTGATGCTTACAGTCTATCGAAAAGTGGTCTTACACAGAGTTGTGGCTGAGAGAGTTTGCTTCAGGCTCAGTTATCGGTTTTTGAAGCGGTTTTCCCATAGTAATTTCCATATAGACTTTGGACGGTTGGTGCCGTGTCTTTCTCTTACCGGATGGGTTCCGGTTTTAGGGGCTAGTCTGGGCCCGATCTGGGGCCGTTTGAGCGCTGTGGAGCGGAAGTGTTGGATTTTGCATCAGTCTAATGGGCACTAAGAGAGTAGGTATATCCCATTATTCAGGTTCGTCTGGCATACGTCAGGTATAGATTGGACTTCGTCTTGTGTATTGATGTTGCGTTAATCGGCGGAGCGGCCTTTGATGATTCGAGGAGACGTTTAATATTTTGTGAACAAAAGTCAAACGTTGGTTCCAATCGTTAGGGCTGCTGCGAAGATTACCGAATTTACTTCTATTCATGTCAATGTCAATAGTAATGCTCGTCTGCCAAACAACGACGCTGTCAATGTCAATGTCAATTAGTTATATAATAAGCTTATCAATAGAAAAGAGTGTTAGTCAATTCTAAACTTCATCTAACATTACCCAAAACTCACCTTTAAAATTCTATACTAGTTAGCTTGTAATGTGTTTTAAGTAGGTATCATAAGCATAAATAAGAATAGTTAATAATAATTACCAGAATTTACAAATGATAAAAATTAGTTTCGATAGACTTTTGATAGGACGGCCTTTAATCATATGTTCATATGTTGGATTTTCATTTTTTTTTTCAATAACAAGCCTCAAATTTAACGCACTAAAGTTACATCTCGTATTAGATCATTTCTATAGGAACTTACTTATAAGCTTATTAATAGAAATGAGAGTAAATCGATTCTAAACTTTATCTAACCTTACCCAAAACTCATCTTTAAAATATTATACTAGTTTGTAATGTGTTTTAAGTAGGTATCATAAGAATAAACAAAAATAGTTAATAATAAATACCAGAAATTACAAATGATAAACTTTTGATAGGAGGGCCTTTAATAACATGTTTATATGTTGGATCTTCAAAAACAAGCCTCAAATTTAATGCTCCAAAGTTACATCTCGTATTAGATCATTTTCTATAGGAACTTACATATTAATATTAGCAATATTTATGTTTAAGTATCACCTTCTTTCCTAGGTGATTTTTTTTTCTCTGCACATGATTACAATCCATCTCACATCACATAAAACCTTATTTAATATCAAATCCAACAGCATCGTTAAAATAAGATGATAAATAGCATTTTGAAATCATCACCATCATTTACTCTCACATTGACTCCACATAAACAAAACATCAATCATGGTTACACTGTATTTCAGTTTTTACATACTTTTAATTATGTTTATTGTGATATTGATTAATGCTAATACTAATGTTATCTTTTGTAATTATTTTTATTATTTTTTTATGCAGTATAACTAAATAATTTCTCCTCAATATCATCTACCGTATAACACTACATCGACCAAATTGAATTTGAAATCGGTTGACAATTTTATTTTATTTTTACAGAACATTACAGTTTAATTAACACCCTTATTTTAGGACTGCGATCGAGGCCTCAACCCTTCAAGTTTATTTATCTACTTGGTCTTGTTGGTTTGAAAGTTACACTATTGTTTGCATACTTCTACAGTGTTGCAGTATAAATTTGTATCTTTCAGATTAATGCCGATCGCGATGGAACCTTGAAGACACCTCAGCGGGAGTTCTGCCATGCCATCTATCGTACATTTCATCCATCATCTTCAATCTGCTAACTTTATTGCTTCCACTTGAAAAATGTTTTATTGTTGAAATTTGTAGCTGATTATGATTTAACTTGAAAAGACATAGAGGTTTTGTGCCTACGGGAGAAGAGGTAGTTAAATTATTTTCACTCGAGCGGGTTTTCCCCTCTATCAATAAAAAAAAAATATATTCAACACATCATAATTCCTTCCTATTATTCAGCTACGAATGTAACAACGATGGTGAGTTCACCATGTTATATCTTCATTTTATTCCAGCAGACAGCAATTTCAAATTTATAAAAAAAAATCTACATATGCCAGCAACACTGACTGGGTGTATCCTATGGCTTACCTTCCCTACTAACATAATTCCTAAATTCCCGAGACATTTATGAGGGGTCGTAGAGTTCTCTGCATCTCTCTTAAGTAAATGTTGGACTAACATACCAGTTGTAAGGACGTGGCCAGGACAATCCTTAACTGTTGGAGCGGGATGTTTCTTTATCTGGGAGATAGTATTTATTTCCTACTTACTATCTGTCCAGTTACAGAAATCCGTCTTGCTCTTATAGTTTTGAATTCGTACCACCTACGATATTGTGCAACTTGTTCGATGCTAATGCTAATGCTAATGCTAAAATCGTATTTACTCATTAATGCGTATACTTGTTATACGTCAAAATATGCGTACTTTTTACTCCCCAAATAAACTCCCGAATGGAGTAAAATTTACGCATTTTTTGAAAAATATGTGGATGGGGTTCCTCTGTTTATTTGAATTATTTACACGGAACAATTTTAGAAATAAAACTTCGAATAAATCAAGTTTAAATTGCATACTTTATTTAAAGATTCATATGTCATATTATAATCAATACATTTATTGATTTTTAATAAAATTATTCGTCAATCGCAGTTGGCATTCATCGATTCAATCATTTTTGCACACAACACATTAACGGACTGTCTAGAGCTGTTTTGTTTTACTTTATAACTAATTATTTCAATTAGTTCCACGAGCTTAACCAAAGAACTCGGCACCTTATAATTGAAAACATTAAAAAATTTAACAAATGTATCAATCGCTTGAACCGAACATGTACCAAGCAAAATAATCTGTCCCTCTGCATAAATCATAAACGATTCTCCTTGGTTAATCAAGTGGGGGGGTACCTTCTGGAAGTTTTCAATGTCGTAGGCAGCATATATGGCTAGCTGTTCAGCCAAAGCCGAAGGTGAGTCCTAGATAGAATAAAAATATATATTAGCTTAGATAACACAAACTTAAATTACTTCTTACAGGAATGAAACGAATCAATGGGGAAGCCAACTCTTCCTCTACTTCTAATGGCATGACTACAGGTAGTTTCTTAACGCCTTTTCTGGAAAGTCGTCCCATTATGAGACAAATTTTACTCATCGCTGAGTTCCTGCACTTTTCGCGATTATGAGTGAACTAAACTCAAATTTGAGTCGTTCTCATTCGCCGTGTACGTTCGTACGCTTGGCGAATCTAAATAAGAAGATTTTACACAAATTACGTACCATAGCACCGTTATATGATCTGAAATGAGGCAGCACCTGAAGTATAGCAGGTACTCCTTTTTTGCTGTTGATTAGCATGTTATGTAGTGGTTGTATTTCAATCATCATTCTCGCAATATTGATGAAATTGGCCGATGTTGCCTCGTCTTGAGCACACTGTTCAGATAAAGCAACGATTTCTGACGAAACGCTAGCTATGTCGATCTTCTTTGCCCGATGCATGAATTTCCGTTTGGTTGGTGAAAGGTTCTTGCAGGCATTCCGTAGGTGTGAGTAAATCAATCCTGAGTGTGCATTTCCAGGCCCTTTTCCGGAATTCTTCCAAAAGAAAAATGACTAAAAGAGAAATTATGATTAAAATTGTAAATAAAAAATTAAATGCCATCACTCACACAGTCAGGCGCGTTCTCAGTAACTTTCGTCAACCGTAGCACAGGAAATGCAGATAGTATGTCACATGCAAGTTTTCTCTTGTCGTCGGTTGATGGGTATCTGAAATCATAAATTCATGTGTAATTATTTCAATATTATTTGTCACCAATATGGAATCTTTTTGAAAGTACGACGGATGTAAATAATAAGATAAAAATTTCCATATCTAAGTGGATTTTGGATGGTAAATTGCTGCACATATTGAGATGGACCACAAAGTAACCCTAATAAAAATGGTATGGTTAATTTGCTTAACGACGTGTTCGGGGTATCATCCAAACCATTTGTGGAATTGTTCAATGATTTGGGTTATCGTTCGTTTGTGGTAATTTTTATTAGGGAATACCTATATAATAATCCTTTTTTTTTATTCGCCTAGAATTATTGGTTAAAATTAAACCTTTTGCATTACTCTCAATTTCAGTACGTTGCTTGGAAACTTTTAGAAACGTCAAAAGAATGCAAAACAACGAAAATAACGAAACAGATCCGACGACGAGAAACCAGCAACTATTAAGGAAGTTGAATTAATCCTACTACAACCTACATTTTAAGAAACAAAAAAATATTATTTAGGTAGGGTAAATGTCGGCTTCGGCACCCATTGACTGTTTTCGGCAATCAAAATTTAAACGTTAATTTCACTATGTTTTACCATCAACACACTTCCCTGAATGTATCCAAATGATTATTTAGTCTTTCAGCTTCAATCTGATTAAATTTGTAGGACCGAGCAATCCTGTTATGCCAGATTCATTTCTTCAAATGAAGCATACGTAATACAAAATGGGGCTGATTTCGAGTTGCCGATAATAGAACAGCTGGTTAACACGCAGTTCTAATGGGAAGGTTGCCGAAGAAAAAGAGGCTGCCGACAATAGTCACACTCACCTGAGAAGTTTAGAGCGTTGTAAAAACGCTTTCAAACAGTTTTGAAGAATTCTGTCGATTGGAATGGATAGAGAAGCAAGCAGCAGATGAATTGAAACAAACAGACACGTCATATATGTGCGTGACGCTGTGAAAATGCTAATAGAAGTGCGGACGCTGCTTAGATTGACGAGAATACGTAAATTCCCCTACTTACATTTTCTCATTCAACATCCTGGACACCATATCGTTGCAGAGAATGCGTACCATCAGTAGCAGTTCTGTGTGGATAGGAACCACATCCAAATCCAGTTTACCGTAGACAATCTTCCGGAACTTGGCGTTATTTACTAACACTTCACGAATCTACAACGAAGAGTTTGGTTAAATAACTAACAATTATTGTTCTGTAAAGTGTTTAATGGTATTATATTCTTTACCTGTTTTGTGATGGGTGCTGATTCTTGCTGATGATTTTCGGTTTCTTGTCTCTGGCTAGACGTCGAAGCTCCAGCACTCAAGCCATCTTGACTGAGTTCTCCCGGTTCCGGGTCTCTGAACGATGCTTCCTTCAATCTATTAACAATTGATAGGATTATGAACCGAGGTCCCATTTGAGTGATTCCAATGGATATCTTCAAGAAACATCAGAGATTGGTCTGTGAATTTTTGGGCTAGGAAAAAGATATTTTTAATTAGCAACGGATCTATAACGATACTCAAAGTAGAGGAGAAAGTTTATTTTTTTTTTGATTAATTGCAATGAGGTTCTTACTTTTCTAGTGTAAGAATAGTAAGAACTGTACTGTGATATTATGTATCAAAGAAAACATATTTTGCGTTAGTTTGAAAAAAATAATTTATTGAGATCAACAATCTCCTTACTCTAATCTTCATATTTCAAGCTTATGAAAAGCGAATTATCCATGTTGTGGCATTTCCAAAAACTATACGTTTTTCTAGTACATACAATACTGACTGGAACTCTTACTACTTTTTCAGTCATCTTTACTTCATAACTGTTATAAAATTCACAGAATCTTATTATCTCTAGAACATAAATTATGCATGTATAGTCATTGTTATTTTCGATAATTGCCTTCAAGATTCAGAGCCACATGACTTGTATTTGACTACTAAGTCAGGTCGCAACGAAGTTCCATTAATTTTCGCATGCTTTATGCATCTGATGTATTCAGGAAGATCGAACACCACTGAAGACACAATTGTAATTTTGTCGATTTCATATCTGTGTTGAAGGATTGCATTGATTTGCTTAAGATTAGTTCTGTTTGTCAAGCTTAGTGTAATATTTTTGAAGTTACCACAAGTTTTTGTCTGTGATTTGCAGTTCTTGAAATTGGCTTCAAACTGAAGGCAGCTCATTTTCGCAATCGGTCCATTATCCTCAATCATTTTAGGATAGTGTGTGACGTGATGTACTTTGTTTGTAGGCTTGGTTAAAGGAAAGCAAATTTTAAAGTTTATTTGAAAATTGTTGATGGTGTTTTTAAAATCTTCGATCATATCAGTTGTTAGTGTGTTTGAGAAGGAATAGAACGTTATTTTCAGAATATCACGTATGATGTTCATGAAATGTACATTTTTAGATAACAAATCAGTAAAAAGGAAAGAAGTCGCTCGTAGAAAGAGCCACATCTGTGAGGCAGATTGAATTAGTGCATGACCAGTAGTTTTCAAGCTCTTGGCTGAAATATTGGCACTTGGCTTATCTTTACTCTCCGCTGTACCGTAATCGAAATTGGAGATTCTCGAGTTTAACTCAATTTCAGTAAGAGATTTGGAAATGTTGACAAAATCATTAAGGATTTTCTTGATAGCTAGAGGGATTATCCCCTCTAACACATCATGCATGGGATCGAATGACATATTTTGTGTAATATGAAAATATTTCAAAGAATTGAAAACATTTTCTCGAATTACTCCACATTGAGCCGGAGACAAGGAACCATTGTTAACAGCTGCTAGATCTAGTTCATAACTTTCACTAGTTCTTAGTGTGTGTTCATTTCCGAATCTACCGTTGTGTAGGTCTTTTCGTGTTATGTAACATGCTCTACAGAAAATGTTTGATTGCGGAGGTTAATTCCAAAAGCTCATGAATGGCACCGGTGTCACCAAGAATGTGAACCAAAGTAGCTCGAACTGTAAAACTCTTACCATTCATTTATATAGTGATCCCCTGATCAGACTGTAGCGTGATTAAATCTTTGATTAAAGGTTCAACGATTTGTTTGATTCCGTATTTATTAACCGTTTTACATTTCACCACTAGGCAAACATAAACACGGTCGACTGTTGAATTTATTTTATCTGCGATATTTTGCAACTTGAATGAAAAAATTGTCAATTTTTGTTTGGTTTTTCGTGAACCGAGAGGATTGCAAGTTTCTACGTCATCTACATGAAGGGAGATTCGTAGAGCGAATGGGTATTTTTGAAGAAACTCGTTAGTTCTGAATAGAGCACCGTCCTTAAAACTATTTAGCACATTACGATGCCCTTGCTCGTCGCTCCTAATCTCTCTCGCAACCATTTCTCTTGCGCAAGAATTTTTCATAATCAAGGAAATAGTATCCTTGATAGGAATGTAGTGCATGGTATCCTTAACCGTGTTGTTTTTCTTAATAACTAGAATCACCTTCCTGGTCTTTCTACTGCTTTCTCGTTGATAGCGAATAGTTCGTAATACCTTTCGCGTGCCTAGCACAACTTCTACTGGTTCCGGTACACTACAAAGTGCTGTTCCAGAAAGATACGATATATTACTGTTCGGATTCCTAACGTCGGTGTACACATCAGATATCGATATTTCGTTGATCAGCTTGATCACATCGTTGTCAGTGGTATCCAGATTTTTTGAAGTTAGCAAGTTTTTCACAAGACCCAAAACGAACCGTTGATAGTTATCCAAGATGTTGTTAGAATGTTCCATGAACATTTTGATTTTGGTTTCTGTTAAAGAAACATCACAACGCATCGTTGTAATAAAAGACAAAGCGATGCCATGTAACTCTTCGCGTGAGACCGAACCCGTAAAATAATTAGGATTCGTGATTCCTTCGTCATTCATGAAACCAATTTCGTCCTCGACTTCCATTGGTTCCTGCGGAGCAGAAGGATTTTCACACTCCGATCTTGGCTTTGTGTGGGGCTTGTGATGCCTTAATATGTGGTCCTTAATTCGCTTGAAGCACGTAAAAATGGTGCCGCAGTTAGCACATCGTAAAGGCACTGAATTCCTCAAGCTCGTATTAAGTTTATGAATTTGCTTGATGTGTGTTTTCAACTCTTCGACATAACCTGGTATGAACGAAGTGCATCCGGTCACGGGGCAATGGAGACCTTTTATGAGTTTTTAACAATGTTAAACAGCACAAACTGATATTAATTAAAAAAAAACTTACCAGCAAGCTTCTCAAAAGTTTCTTTGTCCAGAATTTTCGATAATTGATCCATTTTCTACGAGTTTCACGAAACAAAAACGCAACGATGCTTAAAACAAACCGCCAGCAAAGAACTTTCAAGCAAATGCAAAATGGAGAAAGCAGAGAAACCTGAAAATTGTCCTTTCTGAATAGTTACTACTTTTAACGCATTTTTGATTTGTTGATGAATTTATGAAAATGCATATTTATTACTCCCTATTGTGAACTTAAAATTACTCATCTTTTGACCTATACGTTGTATACTGAAAAATACGTAAAATATACTCATAAAATGAGTATTCCAGATTGACCGTGTGTAAAAGCTCGGAAAGTTTTACTCAGTCTATGAGTTAA